TCCATCTCACCCACGCCACCATTCCATCTCACCCACGCCACCATTCCATCTCACCCACGCCACCATTCCATCTCACCCACGCCACCATTCCATCTCACCCACGCCAGCATTCCACCACTGGTCATGTACACCCTAAAGCCCTGTGTGGCTGCATTATCCCACCCCACCCTTCCTGACAATGTCACAGACAAAACTTCAGGAAGCGTGAGTCATGCACTCGAACCTACAAACATGTCGTCAACAAAATCACGGCACATTTCACCCCCCACCCCCACTCCTTCCCCCACCACCCATTAGTGTCATTACAGAATCGGGGAGGCAATGTTTACAGTTATCAGTTTTGGCAAAACGACTGTGGACTTTGGCTCTCTGCCTCTCACTACCCACAAACTTGATGGGATGTGACCATGGTCAGATGTATCACGTGGTTACATAAGAGTCCCAGTACGCCAAAGAATATCAGCGGGGAAAAAAATTATAATGCGACATGACGTCACTATTCTTTTTTATTTTTACCGGCCTGATTTTTGTAAGGAATCCTAAAAATCAATAACGTTTGACTCTTCAAACTATTAATCTAGGACTATTTGTGTCTACGACACAATGGGCCCTGACTGTATGACCCGGCGATTCTATGTGTCTACGACACAACGGGCCCTGACTCCACGATTGTATGACTCCAAGACGGTAAAACTCAACGACTCTATGACTCCACTACTCGTTTACTCAACGACTTTATGACTCCAGGACTCTTGGACTCCACGACTCTATGACTCCACGACTCTATGACTCATCGACTCAATGACTCCACGACTCTTTGACTCCACGACTCTATGACTCCACGACTCTATGACTCCACGACTCTATGACTCCACGACTCTATGACTCCACGACTCTATGACTCATCGACTCAATGACTCCACGACTCTATGACTCCACGACTCTGAGTCAACGACTTGAACACTCAGCGACCACTGGTTTTGTTTCAGTTCCAAGTCAACAACACACCTTACATCCTCACCTATGGGCACTTAGGTTCACGCATATTGATCTGTGTGGAAACCTTTCCTTTCATCAGCTTTTGAAACAACAAATTTCATGAAATATTTCGATCTCTATGAACCCAAACATACTTGATTACTCCCCTCTGTCTTCGTACCCCTCTCGCTTCTCTCTCTCCCGGTACCCATTCTCTCCATCCTATCTCTCCCAGCCCCCTCCCGTCCATCTGTGACAAAATCAATGGTAGAATCTCAGGTAACCAGGGAATCGGACCGTTGTCAGGGACGCATGTGGGTGAAGGTGGTAGCCACGGGAGAAAGGCAGAGTACGGGAGAATTAAGTGGGTGAAGGTGGTAACCACGGGAGGAAGGCACGATCACTGGGAAGTAAGTGGGTGAAGGTGGTAGCCTTGGGAGGAAGGCACGATCACTGGGAATTAAGTGGGTAGAGGTGGTAGCCACGGGAGGAAGGCACGATCACTGGGAAGTAAGTGGGTGAAGGTGGTAGCATCGGGAGGAAGGCACGATCACTGGGAATTAAGTGGGTAGAGGTGGTAGCCACGGGAGGAAGGCACGATCACCGGGAATTAAGTGGGTAGAGGTGGTAGCCACGGGAGGAAGGCACGATCAGCCACCCTCTTGCCCTTTAAACAAACTGAGAATTTAAATTGAATATTGATGGGAGAGCATGACTTTCGCGTGATTTTGGAACACTTCCACAGACTTTGGGAAACGAGTTTCATTGAAATGTTAGAGTTAGAGTAAACACGTATTAATTGGAAGCAATTGCATTGATGAACCCAGGACAATTTTGCCCTCTGTCAGGCATTAAGTTTTATTTCGCTTAGTCTATCGGGCATACGTTGTATTTGGCTCAGTCTATCGGGCATACGTTGTATTTGGCTCAGTCTATCGGGCATACGTTGTATTTGGCTCTGTCTATACGGCATAAGTTAAAGTTGTATTTGGCTCACTGTCCATAAAGCACCCTTCTCACCACTGTATTCACTTGCATAGTTTTATTACATCATCTGTTCCGTTACTTGGCTCCCATGTGAGGCAACTCGGCAAGGAAAAGTCTCTACGCATAAAAATGTTGATATTACAAGTTTATGAGTGAATATATTCCACGCTTCCACATACACAACACACACACATTGATACCAGAAGCAGAAGAAACTTTAACACAGACAGTTGGGACATTGAACACAACTTGTATATGATCATAGTCAATAAAAGCCAATACATAAATCAACCATGTGTCATTACGAAACATAGAATGGTTCATCATTACAACTCACACTCAGAAACTCAACAGCTATTCTAACCACACAATTATTCGACGAAAGTGTTGCTACAGAATACTTTTAAGGAACAATGAAATACTCAGACAAAGATTTTCAAGACTGAAGAATAAAAATATGAATGAAAAATTAAAAAAAAACCCAACAAATTTCTATTTTTTTTTAATCAATAAAAGTATTTTATCTTATATTATCATCGTATCTTAACTTATCTTATCTTAAATTGTTTGTTGTTGTTGCTGCTTGAATCAAAATAATAGTTTAAAAAACCGTTGGTATCTAACCATTAATTACCAAACCATTGATTACCTAACCATTAATTACCAAACCATTGATTACCTAACCATTAATTACCAAACCATTGATTACCTAACCATTAATTACCAAACCATTGATTACCTAGCCATTAATTACCAAACCATTGATTACCTAACCATTAATTACCTAACCATTGATTACCTAACCATTAATTACCTAACCATTGATTACCAAACCATTGATGACCTAACCATTAATTAACAAATCATTGAGTACCTAACCATTAATTACCTAACCGGTGCTTACCTACCATTGATTACTTCACCATTAATCACCTAAACATTGATTACCTCACCATTGATTACCTAACCATTGATTACCTAACCATTGATTACCTAACAATGAATCACTGCGGTGTACGTACTACACATGGGGACATACGTATTATTCATTGTTTCGTACCACGAATTTTGTAATGGTTAAATAAAACAGAGATTTGTGAAAGAAAATAAAACGTGGCTATTTGGAGGGAATAATTCGAAATAAATTACAGTTAACTCATACAAAAATACATGCCAGGAGAAACAATTGTCTTTTATTATACTTCTGAAGTTTAACAAATCCTTTTCTACCGTCATTCATAATCGACGGATTTTTTTACTTGTAAACTATATTAAACGTAAAGACTCATATACATTATGTTTTTTACGTTTTGAAGTGTCACACATCTTTTTATAACTGGCCTAAATAATATTCTTCTCACTATTTGTTAAAATTTTGAATTTATTGACCTACTTGCCCGAGCTTTTTCTACTTTAAAAAAAATATATAAAAAAAAATAATAAATTTCTCCATTTTCGGTTTGCTCATAATGAACCCCTGGTACAGTTAATTGGATTGTGTTTGGATTCCTATCGATTTGTCAAACGGTGAACACATCAAGGCGAGCACAAGAGAAATCTCCAACAACAAATCACAACCTGTTGGTGTAGTTTGGTCTCCCAGGGGAGCTAAGTAAATAGAGACTTCAAATATTTAATTTTTCGGTACTTTCCCTTTTCTAAACGGATTTTTTTTTTTTTTTTTTTTTTGTGTACTGTGGACAAGACACGTTTCTCACAATAACGTGTTGAAATATATTTGTCTTTGTCAAATAAGAATTTTTTTTTTTTTGGTTTTTTTTTTTTTTTAATGGTATTTTTTTTTTTTTTTTTTTGTGTGTACTGTGGACAAGACACGTTTCTCACAATAACGTGTTGAAATATATTTGTCTTTGTCAAATAAGATGCATGCCTCGATTGCTGTCTCACATAGGAACACGAATTCACGAGAGGATTTAATCAGACGCTCTACTCAGAATGTCCACTGACTCGCATACAAAAACATTTAAATTTACTGATTCTCGCCATTATGCCTTTGAAAAAAAAAAATGCTTGGCTGCTTGGGAGGCCTAATAGCAATTTTCCAATGCGATATTATTTTTTCCAAATTAATTTAAATGCTACAAGATGAAACTATAATTCTACAAGATGAAACTCTACGACTGCAAGATGAAACTATAATTCTACAAGATGAAACTCTACGACTGCAAGATGAAACTATAATTCTACAAGATGAAACTCTAATTCTACAAGATGAAACTATAATTCTACAAGATGAAACTAATACTACAAGATGAAACTGTAATACAAATAATAAAATACGACAAGTTTCTCATTGCGCAAACATTTTAGTCGCATAAATTAAAATTTCACTGAGGAAATAAATAATTTGCGCAAACATTTTAGTCGCATAAATTAAAATTTCACTGAGAAATAAATAATTTGTCCCGAGAGAAGCCTAGATTTTCTGTGTGATACATTTAACACCCGACCTTCCCGCGGGAGGTAATTCACAACACCACACCGATGGGCAGCAACTTTCCTCTCAGACGGAAATAAATAAGGATTTGCCCATTGATGGAATGAGTTGCGTCCCCTAGGTGTTCTGACTCAGCCGCTGGTGCCATTCATGTGGAATATTCAGGCGTCAAATTATAGGGGACAGCAATACAATCTACACTTTTGTTGACAGTGTGTGTGCTCAGTGTGTGTGCTCAGTGTGTAGGTGAGTGTGTGTGCTCAGTGTGTGTGCTCAGTGTGTAGGTGAGTGTGTTTGTTTGATGGAAAAATGTTGGTATGTACACGTCTAAGTGAGTCAGCTTGGCCAAAATTGAGAATTTTCGTCCATATTTCCATTTTACTCCAGCCAAAACAATCCAATTTAGAATCAACACATACTACCCTCCAAACTATTGATAAACCTGTTATTTTATTGTGCAACTTGCAACTAATATTAATTGAATTCTGCTTTACAATTTCAGTAAGGCATTCAGTTTCTGTCTTGTTGATTTATTTAAATTGATTGAGCATAACAACTTAAAATCTTTTGATCTTCAGCAAACATTGTTCTCCTGGGACCTCGTGAGACAGCCCAGATTGTAGGTGAACAGGTGCAGTTTGACTGCGACCTCACAGACATTGATGCCACCTCAAAACCAGGTGAGAGAATTATTTTAGGTCTCCAGGCCATTGCATCCCACTGGCCTGCTGGATTGTCCACCAACACTGAAATGCAAAGAGGCCATCCCATGTCATATTTTCGCATACAATAAAACACACGACCCATTTCTAGTTCAAAGTTCAAACAATACAATAAAAATGTAAAGACTTACTTCAAGCCTCACTTTCTGTGATTTCAAATATACTTTACAATTTACAAAATTTTTTTTTTATTGTTACCAGTTAGAAATATAACTGTTTGAATCCTATTAGTTGGATATATTAGTTAGATACAACTTAAATATTACTGACAACAGAACACAAAAAGAAACTGCTCTGTGGTTTCCCCAACACATATTTTGTTAAAGCTGTTGTGTCCATATCGCAATTCTTTTTTTGTTTTAACCAGTCCCTGTCAGCAAGCCCTATACCATAACATGGACGTTTCGTGCCCTGGACCAAGAAGCCGTGTCCACCGTGATGACCGCCTTCCACCAGGGTAACCAGAAGTTTACAATTCTGTCACCTGCGCCAGATAAGTATCAGGACACGCAGAGCCCCAGACTTTTGGTCCACAACCTCGTCCTGTCTGACGCGGGCTGGTACGCTTGCAGCAGCAACTTGACCACGGAGATTGTCGGAGCTAACCTGTTGGTTATTGGTACGTCAGTCATATTTTTAACATTATTCAGATAGTTTTTGTATGTCGTCAGAGACATCAGATAGTATTGAGTAATCAGGTAGAATTGTGTACATCATCAGATAGAATTGTGTACATCATCATATAGTTTTGTCCATTTCCTAAGTTAGCCTGTCAATATATCTTCAAGACATAACATCCAATTTCCTTGATTTAGTCAACACATTTCATTATTATTGAATAGAAATTGGAGCATGTAATCATTATTGAATAGAAATTGGAGCATGTAATCATTATTGAATAGAAATTGGAGCATGTAATCATTATTGAATAGAAATTGGAGCATGTAATCATTATTGAATAGAAATTGGGGGTGATAAAATAGACATGGGGGAACTTAATTGTGATATAATAGAGATGGGGAATCTCTAATTGTGATATAATAGAGATGGGGAATCTCTAATTGTGATATAATAGAGATGGGGAATCTCTAATTGTGATATAATAGAGATGGGGAATCTCTAATTGTGATATAATAGAGATGGGGAATCTCTAATTGTGATATAATAGAGATGGGGAATCTCTAATTGTGATATAATAGAGATGGGGAATCTCTAATTGTGATATAATAGAGATGGGGAATCTCTAATTGTGATATAATAGAGATGGGGAATCTCTAACCATATTTCCTTGCTTTATTTTCTTTGTGTTGACCTGCTATATGAATGTGACTGCCTCACTGTCTACAGGTCACCCCAAGTGCCACAATGAAAAAGCAGATGTTTACTTCAGAGAGAACATTAGCCTTGAGTGCACTGTCAGTTATGGTGGAAGTAGGCATCCGGTTGTTGACTGGAGGTAAACAATATATCAATTCAAAGTAAAGGGTTCTCAAAGTAAAGGTTTATGGCACTAGTAGTCCATAATAAGTGATACACTTGATGGAGATCCAAAAAAAGAACAATAACTTGAGGAATTGCATGATGGGTGTCCTTCCTACAATGTGGATAAATTCCTGCCAGTCCATGACTCTCTACTACTTTGAGAAGCACCATATTAGGTTATACTTGACAACACGTCATAATTTCCATTAATTCACCTTCTTATAAGCTATCCATATATTGTTGTTACCAACATTTATTAAAATGTGTGTGCCCAGGACACCTCATCATTTCACAAACTTAACAGCATACTAATCAGACATGGTAACAAAATCTGTTTTTAACATTTTTTATTAGGTCAATTACACAAAATTGACATGCATTTGGCTAGGCTACAGATCTCCTAGCGTGGACATATACCTAAAATAAAACTACTAATATCTATAGTTGAAACACTGATGTAGTTGAAAAAGTACTTATATAAAAATGAAATACTACAGTATTACTAGTACCCACCCCACCATGCAAACCAAACACACACTCTCTCTCAAAAATACACACTCTCACATACACACACTCTCTCTCTCACATACACACCCTCTCTCAAAACACACACCTACCATGAAATACACAGGGAAGTTTTTAAATAATGAACCTGAAACTAAAATTTAGACAGAATTAGTTTACAAATTACTGCATATTTCCCACCACATAGTTCCTACCACATAGTTCCTACCACATAGTTCCTACCACATAGTTCTTACCACATAGTTCCAACCACATAGTTCCCACCACATAGTTCCCACCACATAGTTCCCACCACATAGTTCCCACCACATAATTCCCACCACATTGTTCCCAACACATATTTCCCACCACATAGTTCCCACCACATAGTTCCCACCACATAGTTCCCACCATATAGTTCCCACCACATAGTTCCTACCACATAGTTCCTACCACATAGTTCCTATCACATATTTCCCACCACATAGTTCCCACCACATAGTTCCTACCACATAGTTCCTGCCATATATTTCCTACCATAGTTCCTATGCAATCAAGTGGCTTTTCCTGATAGCTAAACATTAAAACATCCATATTTTGTCATCTTAAATTTAAATGATTAGATGTTGCAAACATATTTTGTAAATAATCACACATAGACCACAGAGTGACCATACATACACCATGCATTGACCAAAGAGTGACAAACATTGGCCTCATAGCGGGACCACAAACTGCCATTCATTTACCACATATTGACCTTCCAGTAACCACAGAGTGACCATACATTACACCATGAATCGACCGCACACTGACCACTTTGATTTGACCACACAGGTTTGGCAGCCTGAAGCTCAACTCGACATCAGAGATGGAGGAGAACTCCACTTCCCTGAAGGAGAGACTTGTGCTCCAGGCCAGCGACAAGATTCGCGGTCACATCTACCACTGCAACGTCCACTACCCTGGTCTCATCACTGTGGAGTGCCTGGCCCTGCCGGCCATACAAGTTTACAGTGAGAATGTTGTGCATTTGAAACCAATGCTCACTTATCTTTAAATTGTCTTTTCGAAATTTCTTTAAGAGCAGCCATTCATTTGCTATTTTGTACGAGTTTTATTTTTCCTATACAGGAGTCTCTAAATAAAAAAAAATTATTAAATATAATTTTGGGAATTTGGGTTAATGATACAGGTTCAGTCTTAACACATGCGATTTACATTGATAGGACTTCTTTAGATACAGGTTCAGTCTTAACACATGAGATTTACATTGATAGGACTTCTTTAGATACAGGTTCAGTCTTAACACATGAGATTTACATTGATAGGACTTCTTTAGATACAGGTTCAGTCTTAACACATGAGATTTACATTGATAGGACTTCTTTAGATACAGGTTCAGTCTTAACACATGAGATTTACATTGATAGGACTTCTTTAAAACAAAAAAAGTCATTTAAATGTTTTCAAGAATCCCAAATAAAACTATGCATTTTACCTTGCTTACCTAGTGTGCATTTTACCTTGCTTACCTAGTGTGCATTTTACCTTGCTTACCTAGTGTGCATTTTACCTTGCTTACCTAAGGTGCACTTGCATAATCCCACACATATTCACTTGATTGTTAGCCCAATCTATATCTGAGTTTTCTTTCATGCGCCCATGTGTTAACTGTGACTAAGATTTTTTTTGTGTTTTTGTAAACCAGGTCCAGCTGAGGTCATTGCCGTCCATGTGTTCCCTGTGACCAGACACAATGACTTCCCTCTAGGCACAAATGTTGTACTCAAGTGTATCAGTAGAGGATTTCCAGGTGAGTCATTGAAAACAGTTTCTTTCATACAGCTCAGTACGACGAAATTCTCACATATCATAGTGTTTATTATTAGTAATAAAACACTGCAATCAGGCTAGCAAAAAAAGGAAATGATTAAAACCTGAAAAAGGACCGCAACTAAACAACGAACATGTCAGCAGGAAGCCTTTGTCGGCGAACAAACATTAGAAAAAACAGAATAAAATTTAAAAAATAGCACTTAGCTGAGAAGTCGTATCCAAGAGGCCACCCAAGGAATTCTTTGTTGTCTTGCTTTCCTTTTCATCCTTTCAGGGCTACTATTTATTGGTGCAACACATATTTTATCTTTTATTCAGCCATAATTTTTAGATCATCGTTTACTTAGCTGTAAATTATTAGGCTATCATTAATTTAATCACAAATTATTAGATTATCATTTATTTTGTTATAAATTATTAGTTTATCATTTATTTAGTTATAAATTGTTAGGTTATCATTTATTTAGTGATAAATTATAAGTTTATTACTCATTTGGCCATCATTTATTTCCTTTGGTTTATGGGAAGGTAAAAGAATATATCCTGCAAAATTGGAGTGATTTATTGTGGATTGGTTTTTTACTTTCAACTGTAGAATCTTTGATATTAAGTACGGGAAAAAACACTCAAGCTAACTTGTATGATCTGTTTTCAATAAGATGTCTGATATGTTTTCAATAAGATGTCTGATCTGTTTTCAATAGATGTCTGATATGTTTTCAATAAGATGTCTGATATGTTTTCAATAAGATGTCTGATATGTTTTCAAAAAGATGTCTGATATGTTTTCAATAAGATGTCTGATATGTTTTCAATAAGATGTCTGATATGTTTTCAATAAGATGTCTGATCTGTTTTCAATAAGATGTCTGATCTGTTTTCAATACGATGTTTGATATGTTTGTCAATAAGATGTCTGATATGTTTGTCAATAAGATGTCTGATATGTTTGTCAATAAGATGTCTGATCTGTTTTCAATAAGATGTCTGATATGTTTTCAATAAGATGTCTGATATGTTTTCAAAAAGATGTCTGATATATTTTCAATAAGATGTCTGATATGTTTTCAATAAGATGTCTGATATGTTTTCAATAAGATGTCTGATATGTTTTCAATAAGATGTCTGATCTGTTTTCAATAAGATGTCTGATATGTTTTCAATACGATGTTTGATATGTTTGTCAATAAGATGTCTGATATGTTTTCAATAAGATGTCTGATATGTTTGTCAATAAGATGTCTGATATGTTTTCACTAAATGCTGTGATTAAACGTAATAGATCTCACCAGGAAAACTGTTTCCCAACTTATTTAAATATTCTCCCCTCCTAATGTATCTTCCTGATGTGCTCCACAGTCCCCACCTACTCCTGGAGCTTCATACCAGCTGGGTCAGACAAGAACACTGAGATGTTGGCTTACAGCAGCCAGTTCACCATTGACAGCTTTGCAGAGGATCATGCTGGGACGTATGTGTGTCACGTGACCAATGAGATCCTGGTCAAATCCAGCGGTCCTGGGAGCTATGACAATCTGGAGACATTCCTGCACAGCCGCAACGTGACTCTTACCGTAGCTGGTTGGTACATTTTGATGGTCAAAAGTTTAATATTTTTGTTCAGATACTCAAAAAGAAAATTTGATTTCAGTCAATCGTTTCTATCAACTATTCTTTATTTAATCTATGCCAATGAATCTGAACTAGGAGACTTAAAGATGCAAACAGGCAGTGGTGAATTCTGATTTTTTTGCCTTTACAAACTCCTTTTCGTTGTTAATGTCAATTAATTTTTCCAAAAATGTACAAAGCATTTGTTAGAAGCTTAAAAGTTAGACTCAAACCCACAGCATAAGGCATGAGAGACGAGTTACCTTGCTACTGGAACAATCAAATCTAAGGAAGGTCTAGAGAATCTAAATGTCGTTGTTTGGGGCTCACATGTTGTCATTCATAACTAGAGCAGGTGTTTTAGCGGTGCTGAACTGAAATAAAATTATTACAACTTGTGACTTAACTGTTTAACCCCTGCACAATGATTGATGGCCATTTTGTCCACAGAAACAGTGGATGTCGAGGGTCCAAATGCCGCCTACATAGTCGGAGGCAGCAGCTCAGGTCAAGTGGGACCCCAAGTGGCGGACACGAGCATGCGTTGTGAGTACCTGGCTTCTTTCTCAGACTGCCCGGCTGTCTCTTTCCTCCAAATTTTTTCTATGTCAATATTACGGCAAGATAATGTCACAAGAAATCATTGAATAATCCTGCCTTTCTTGCGATTAATTTTAAAAATGTTATTAATTAATGGAAAATGATTTTAAATTCATGTGAAAATTAATTATTAAATCTAATAATCGGAATACTCGGGAAAAATAATATTTTAAAATCACTCTAAAATATTTAATGTCTCTCTAAACTTTATATGCTATCTTGACTTTGTGAATATTATTTTCATATTTTCCCTCTGACAAATAGCATTGGGTTTAGTTTTAAATAATTTTAAATATGTTGGGAGCAAAATGTTCAATAGAAGGTATGACATAAATTTCTTCTTTGAGATGAAAAATATTTGAGTTAAAAAATAGTTAGCTTTATCTTTAAAAATAAATATTTAATCTTTACTTTTGTTTAATCCCCCTAATTGTTTAATTTTCATTATTTTAGTTTTTTGTTTTTTATTTCAATTAATTCTGTGACAATAAACTAAAGGAAGGTAATTAAACGTAATGTTTTCATTTTAGACATTTAAAAATTTTTTTTAAATTTTCTCTTACAAGACCATCTAAGAATATTCTATTTGATTGTGACCATTAACTGTACCATTTGCCTACTGTATTCCTTTAGTTCTGAAAAATCTCCTTAAAAAATAAAAAATGATTTTAGTAAATGTTACTGTTGCCATTGTAGTTGTTTATTTTGAAGAAATATCAATTTATAAAGTGATATTATCTTCTGGTTTTAAGATCAATTTATAAAGTGATATTATCTTCTGGTTTTAAGATCAATTTATAAAGTGATATTATCTTCTGGTTTTAAGATCAATTTATAAAGTGATATTATCTTCTGGTTTTAAGATCAATTTATAAAGTGATATTATCTTCTGGTTTTAAGATCAATTTATAAAGTGATATTATCTTCTGGTTTTAAGATCAATTTATAAAGTGACATTATCTTCTGGTTTTAAGATCAATTTATAAAGTGACATTATCTTCTGGTTTTAAGATCAATTTATAAAGTGACATTATCTTCTGGTTTTAAGATCAATTTATAAAGTGATATTATCTTCTGGTTTTAAGATCAATTTTTAAAGTGACATTATCTTCTGGTTTTAAGATCAATTTATAAAGTGATATTATCTTCTGGTTTTAAGATCAATTTTTAAAGTGACATTATCTTCTGGTTTTAAGATCAATTTTTAAAGTGACATTATCTTCTGGTTTTAAGATCAATTTTTAAAGTGACATTATCTTCTGGTTTTAAGATCAATTTTTAAAGTGACATTATCTTCTGGTTTTAAGATCAATTTTTAAAGTGACATTATCTTCTGGTTTTAAGATCAATTTTTAAAGTGACATTATCTTCTGGTTTTAAGATCAATTTTTAAAGTGACATTATCTGCTGTTTTTCTTTTACATTTCTGCTTATAATATTAATTTTAGCTTTCCTATGTCTGGACATTTTTCTTTAAAAGCGTATCAATTTTTGGATGTCTTTCATCTTGCTTGTGCATACCAGTAACCATTCAACAGTTCTTTGTGACATCAATGGAGATGCCCAACCTATCCTTAGATATTGAAATTCAAAAAAACCTATTGATTGCCGTCTCAAGATAAATTATTGTAAATATGTAGTATACATTTATACAATTTTTTTTTTTTTTTTTATTGTTGCCATGAAATCTCAAATTTTCATTATAAAGCCATAAGATAGTTTTAAAAAAAGCTAACTTTAGTTGTTTGATCGTGTCAGTAGAAATGGGGTCCTCTCCACGTGTCAAACTAAGTGTCATGGTCACACACACACACACACAGTGTTTGTTGACACACTGTTTAGTTGTTGGTGAAACCTTTCATCTTTAGGTGCAGACAATCTTCAAACTTGTAACAGTAAAATATAAGTTTCAGATTTTACAATTTTTAAAATATATTTAATTATTTAAAAAAAAAAAGTCTTTACAGTTAATTTAATTGTTTAACTTTGAATATTTCACTGAATAATCAAATTGAAATCTCCCAAAAAAAAAAAAAAATCGTTTTATACTCATCACCTGCTTGATTTGGTAGCCTCAACAGTAGAAATCTGAGATAAACCAGTAATGCATTGAAATTGTCAGACCGGTGTGTCCAGCCATCGATGTCTTTGTTATGTTTGTTTCATCTCCTATGCTTGCAGACTCCTACCGTGCCAGACCCAATACCTCTCTCTGTAAGTGTGCTGTTTCTCGACTTGTTCTCCTAGCCGTGTCCCCTCACCGCCTCAACCCTTCCACGCTCAGTTATGCACAGAGTAGCCACCTGTATAAATTCATAATTTTTTTAGCATCTGCCATTTAGTTCTGTATGGCTTGGACTGATATGCCCGGTGGCCTCAATGGCTCTTAGTGACACTTGTCCCAGAAAGTAAATAATATTTACATACAGAGTTTACATACATTAAATTTTGAGCTTTCCGTTTTTACAAGCTAAAAATAGATTTCTTGAACGCATTGATGGATATTTTGATGTAAAGCTAAAGAAATGTGTCTAAATTTTTTTGACAGTTTACATTACAGACTGGATTTCTTTGTGACTGTCAAAAATATTAATTAATTTTTAACGCTAATGTGAATTAATGTCATATTCAATTCGAATCGCTCTTATTTTTCACCCCGGCTGTTTGAGCTAAACACAAAATGAGACAGACTTTGTCTTGCTGTTGTTTGTCTGTACGAGGTTACTGTGTTGACTGTTGGTGTTCGATGGTGACACCCATTCATTTGTAAACTTGTTTGTAGCTGTATATTATTTTACTGTTGAATTTCATAACAAGATGTAATTTTTGTTTGTGCCTGCACATTGGATAGGAGGCCACCAAGTGTCTCGTGTAGGGAGACACTCATCAATACATTGTACAAGACATAAATCCATGTTCATCAATGAAAAGTCCATAAAAGTTTCTTATTACAAGCAAACACAAACCCATGTAAATTGGCCATGTCTTTTACCACAGATACCACAAGGACAAACCCATGTAAATTGGCCATGTCTTTTAACACAGATACCACAAGGACAAACCCATGTAAATTGGCCATGTCTTTTTACAAATGTACCACAAGGCATACAAATATATACCTACCCAAGCATGCAATATTGAGATCTATCAACTATTTTTTTTTTAAATTTTGACCAAAAACTGCCTCAGACACAGCTTGTATAACCAACACATTGCAACGTGTTTTTGATGTCAACTTTCCATGAAATGTTTCTTTGATAAGGTCATTATGCATACCACCGGCTTATTCAAAAACATATTGAAATTATTACTTGGTTGCTGCATGGCTTACATAGTACCCGCACTATTTTCATTGGCTGATTGTGTAAAACTGTTTATGATCAGCTTACCATTATAATCTTTTTTTAAAACAAAATTTAAACAAGTGATCTGACACTATTAGTGTATTGAATATGTGATGTTTGTTCAGAGTTCTTCAAGATTGTATTTGAATACATCCATGGAAGTGGCTTCATTGAATGGTTTTTCTAGACATACAATTTGTTGGGGTTTTTTTTAGTTTTTTTTTTTTTTGTTGTTGTTTAAACTATTTTTATGTACTTGCATGCTGATTGCTCTACAGTAAGTGTAGTCTTTACATGCTTGTAACCAATTAATCTTCTAGAAAACAATTTGAGGAAATACAAGTTTTGATACAACATTCAACAATGCTCATTTTAAAAAAATGCATTCTAGTACATATCCATCAATAGAACTATGTCTTTTGTATAAATTTGTTTATATTTTATCATAGTGTTAAGCTGATCACATATTTTTATACTGCCCCAGCTGTTGAACAAATGTTTTTATACTGCCCACAGCTCTTGACATTTCTCTTGTTTTCTTACAGTTTCTCCATACGCCATAGGGGCAGTAATCAGTGCTGGTCTGGCTGTGCTGCTCATCATTGTGTTCGTCTTCATGGCAATGAGAATGAAGGTAAAATTTATTGCTGTAAATGAAGTTATCAGTTTTAGGTGTAAATGAAAGTATCAGTTCTAGGTGTAAATTAAGGTATCAGTTCTAGGTGTAAATGAAGGTATCAGTTCTAGGTGTAAATGAAGGTATCAGTTCTAGGTGTAAATGAAGGTATCAGTTCTAGGTGTAAATGAAGGTATCAATTCTAGGTGTAAATTAAGGTATCAGTTCTAGGTGTAAATGAAGGTATCAGTTCTAGGTGTAAATGAGGGTATTAGTTCTATGTGTAAATGAAGGTATCAGTTCTATGTGTAAATAAAGGTATCAGTTCTAGGTGTAAATGAAGGTATCAGTTCTAGGTGTAAATTAAGGTATCAGTTCTAGGTGTAAATGAAGGTATCAGTTCTAGGTGTAAATGAGGGTATCAGTAATCAGTTCTCTGTGTAAATGAAGGTATCAGTTTTACGTGTAAATGAAGGTATCAGTTCTATGTGTAAAATCAATTCTACTTTTTAAGTCTATTTAAGTTTATTAACTAAAGAAAATTGTGCACTGTTGGGTTGGAGAAAGTTGGTATGACTGATGTTCACAACTGCTCCAATTTCAAATCACAGTTATTCCAAAACACCTTTACCAAATGTGCATTTGGACCTTCACCTATGACTCCTTGGCTTGTGAGGTACTTGGCATAGACAAGGGCTAAGGAGAAAAGGACACATTCAAGTGGTCGAATTCTCTATTCCAACTTCCTTTCTAACATTTCTCACTCTGAATAAGAAACTACAGTCCAAGAAGTACAGCTCTATAAAAACCTGCACTTGAAGAAGCCCATTCTTAAGACTGATTTCCTAAATGGCTCTGGTGCCAACTTTGATTTGGGAACTATTTTAGCTCCAGATTTTCTTTTCTTGTGCAGCAGGTTCTTGTAAATATGACAAACAAAATATGATACTGGGTTGGCTTAAATATCTGTTAAGTTGGACTAAATATATATTTTTTTAAAAACTAATCGGATAAACAATTTTTTTTGGGAGGAATTTTTTAGAATAACATTAAAAATATCGTCATTTTGTTTAATTCTTTGCAGAAACGGGAGAAGAGAATGAGAGAGAAGATCGCCAGAGCGCACGATGAAAATTTGGATGATCAAGAGGTGGAGTTACTGGATGAGAGTACACAACCAAATACAGAATATTTAGTATGTGATACTGGTGGTGATGGTGATAGTTAAGTAGGAGACCATCACAAAATAGATCAATAGATGTAGTTTACTAATGGCTACGGTTGTAGTGCTTCTAACTCAGGTCTGTCTGATACAGAGATTGTTGACCAAATGCGGTGAGACCTTAGGGTCACTCTGATACAGAGATTCTATATAAATTTGGTCAGATCTTATGCTCCAACCATGGTCAGACATAAGTGTCACTCTGGTACAGAGATTATTGATGAACTCGGTGAGACGTTTGGGTCACTCTGATACAGAGGTTATTGACCAACTCAGTGAGACATTTGGGTTACTCTGATACAGAGATTATTGACCAACTCAGTGAGACCTTAGGGTCACTCTGATGCAGAGATTCTATACAAAATTGGTCAGACCTTAGGCTCCAACCATGGTCAGACCCAAGGGTCACTCTCTTGCAGAGATAATTGACCAACTCTGACGGGCAGTTATGTTGCTCTGATACAGAATTTAAAATACTAATATTGCTGTAACAGTGGCATACTAAGAAGTTGATCTGCATGGTCCCATCATAACTAAATAGGAATATTGTAATGTAGAGAGCAGTCAACTTGACTGACACATCAGGTCAACTTGACTGACACATCAAGTCATCTTGACTGTCACATCAGGTCAACTTGACTGACACATCCGGTCAACTTGACTGACACATCAAGTCATCACAGCTTTTTGCAGTTGTGATGAGTGTATACATTAGCCTTGCCATCTTTCTGTTGGATGATCTTCATGTTGTAGATGTGGTTTTGAAGACAATTTGAATGACAGGTGAGTTCTGTCAGGCTTGCACAGGACCAGCAATGATGTGACAGCGGTGGTGTTAGATGTCATCATGACTTTTTAGATAAACCGGGTCATCTAGAATCATTGGCCAAGACTGAGAGGTTTATTACTCGTGCAATTAATATGTGGGATTAATTGTTGATTGTAATCAGATGCTTCTAACCATTTCACAAATATTTTTTGTTTATAATTTGATGGTACATCATAAAGATCTAATCAAGATTGAAATATCAAATTAAGTTAATATTTTAACCAAATATTTTCTCTTTTAAAAAAAGCAAGTGGAATCTTTCTTATCATGGTGGAATCTTTCTCATCATGGCGCTTTGATTAAAAATAATTTTCTCTCTTATGGAAATTAAAAATTAAAAATAATTTCTAGACCTAAATTTTTGCATACGAGTGCTAAGTATTTAAATGAGATTGTAGATTATGACTAAAAAAAAACTGCACAAATATTAAGGAGCACTTCTTTAATCAGAAGCGGTTAACAACAATTATGTTTTGATAAATGCAACATCTCCTAACATCACCTTGCTTTATTTACAACATTTATAACTGCCGCGAGACAATTGTGTTTTGAGACGTGCAACATCTCCTAACATAACCTTGCTTTATTTATAACATTTATAACTGCTTTTAGATGTAGACCTAGTGGCATTTATTCATCTTACCTGTATTCCTGGCAGAAATTATGTTGTCTTAAATAATAATTTGTTTTATAAAAAGTCTGTTCTGACTTGCAGAATTTTCCTACCGGTAATAATAACAAATACCATTTTTACTGTTTTGCTGTTGGCACAAAAATGTCAGGATATGTCAGATGCAGCTCATCAGATATTTCTATCAGTTCTCCTCTAATATTACAATAATGTAACACACCTGTTGATAATCAAGTTAAAAATGGATAGAGAATTTTATTATTGTCCTTTTTTTTTTATTATTAAATTTTACAAAAATCTCCCATTTGACATAAAATCTCCCATTTGACATAAAATCAACCACTTACTTGACAGCCAACAGAATATTCTCGGCTCAAGATGAGCTGGGAAATTCCCCGAAAGGATGTCCGTCTTCTGGAGCAGATTGCCCAGGGGGCTTTTGTCCAGGTCTGGAAGGGAAGGATGAGGAGGTCCCCAGGATCTACTGATGTCATGAGGGTCATCATTAAAAAGCTACAAGGTAAAGGTCATTTACTTTACATCAAACTGAAACTTGATACAGTGAAATGCACTTGATGACATGACTTTCCCCGGTTTCTGCGCCAGGTGGTTTGTTTTTTGTGAATTAAACAAGGAATTACTCTGAGAGCTGTAATGTTTATTTATTCTATTTGGGCTTTAAAATGAATTATTTTAAGTCAAGAATAGAATCTCCCTTACTGATAAAATGCTTGAAATAATGATGTATTTTTATAGTTTTCAAGGAAGAAAATCAAATCTAAGCAATGGTAACTAATCTAATAAAAAATTATTTTTTTCAAAGTAAATTAAATCTATAAAAAATTCTGACCAAAACCATTTTTAAATACCAGACAACATCACAATACGTGTGTGTTGTTAGGATCTTTGTTTGATTATGTAATTAAAGCCTAAGGTTAGTTGTAGAAAATATTTCCTTTTTCAGATATTGTTGTGATTTTGAAGACAAACTCGATAAACTTATCAAAGCTTGGCATCTTTCCGTAAAGATTTTCTAGGCCATTGATTGGCTGAAACCTAAATAATTTCAAAACTGTAATATTATTAAATATTTTCAATATTGTTGTAAGTCAGTAGAAGTTTAATTTTGTGGCATTTGGTTTCTGTAAATACCTGATGAAGGTTGTGGATTTGAAGATAAAAAAATTTAACAAATTGAATGCAAATTTCCCTTAAACTAGTCGAATTAAAATATTTGAATTGGTCGTATTTTCTGTTCTGTTTGCCTCTCAGGTGAAGCTAGTGACAAAGAAAGGCATTTCTTCACAGCTGAGCTGGAGGTTCTCAAGATGTTGCCGGCCCACGCCAATGTTATAAGACTGGTTGGAAGTTACACAGCCAATGGTGAGCCATGTCTCACTCTATCATTCATAAACCCCCACCCCTGTAAAAGTTTGAATATCTTTATATGAACTTAATTTATTCTGTGTAGACATTACTTGGATAAGATCATTTCTGTTTAGTTGAGAGATGTTTTTTTTTTTTTTAATTTCATAAATTTCAACAGTTCAAACCCTCCGGTTTATGCTAAAATAAAAAAAAATAAAAAAAGGCTGTTTTTCTAGAAGATGTTTGTGGGGCCTAAAGATAATTTCATGTGAACTAACATTATGTTTTGGTGAAATAAGAATTAATTAAAAATGTACATTAAAAGGAAAAGAAATAAAACAATAATGTTATAATTGAAAGCTTAAAGAAAACAGTTTACCCATCTTAATGTATGTTAATTTTTAAGTTCATGATTATGTTTGTTAAATTGTATGTATAGCGTGGTGGGCTGGGGTATTGTGCTATATAAAGCCACCACTAATAATAATAATAATAATAAAAATAATAATAATATTATGTCGTGTAGTTAAAAGAACTGTTAAAGGCAATGTTCTGACTGCGGCATTTAATTTATCTTCAGCTATTCACACATTTTTTTATAGTTGGGGACACCCCCACCACTTAAGACATTATATTTCACCTTGAAAATAAAAGAGTTGATAGACCCCATAAATGACCCCTAAGATTGCACACCACAAGTTGCACACCACAGTCCCTCATCAAAGAAATAGCTGCTCAGATTTGATGCAGAGACTGAATCTTTCATACAATGCCATAAAAACAGCTGTGTCTCATTTCATGGCATTTATTCCATCCCCCCCCCCAACCCCCCTCCAGAGCCCTGGTTGATGATGATGGAGCTGGCCAGTGAGGGGACACTGCAGCAGTTCCTACAGCGCCACTGTCCGGGACACCAGCAGGTCATGATAGGCAGGGGAGAGAAGCCCAGTGTCAGCTTGACCAAGAAGCAGACGCTGACATCCCAAAAATTACTTGCTCTTGCGGCCCAGGTTGCCAGTGGATTAGACCACTTGGAAAAATTTAAGGTGAGGATAACTTAAGCATCCTAAAACAATCATGACAGATATTTTCGTTCTTAAAAAATTATAAATCTGCTTTTTTAAAGTCATTGTAGAGCCATGTAAAATTAAAGCAAGTAGTTTTAAATTCCCATTTTAGTCCCTGAAGTCAATTAAGTGATAAATTCTCACGACAAGGTGATAAAAGTCAGTTCTGACCTGATTATGACTCTGCAAGTTAGTACAATAATTGAAACTTTCCTACGACTGTCTTTCAGCTGATCTACTACCGACTGCGTTCGTGTAAGATTCTTGTGGCTAAAGGTGGCATCTGTAAGCTGTCTGGATTTGGATTCCCCAACGAGATGACTGAGAGGAATGTGTATGAGGCTGTAAGTACATGAGCTCTTTGAGAGGAATGTGTATGAGGCTGAATGTACATGAGATCACTGAGTGGATTGTGCATGAGGCTGTAAGTACATGAGATCACTGAGAGGAATGTGTATGAGGCTGTATGTACATGAGATCACTGAGAGGATTGTGCATGAGGCTGTAAGTACATGATGGGATTGTCTATGAGGCTTTAAGTACATTTAGGATTAATTTGTGTCCAGGTTTTTAAGTGTAACCAAGTTTGACAACTCAAAGCTTCTTTTAATTCACTTGTTCATTATGGCACACACTTTTCTTTTCTTTTTTTTGTCAATTAAATTTGAAAAAGATGAAATTAAATTTGTTGACTTACATTGTGTATTGTCTCTATGTCAGTTTAATCATACTTGTAATGAACACAAAAACTCATGCTGTTAAGGAACAGTTCATTTTTTAAAACCAATTATTATGATGTCAAAGTAAAATGACAAAGATAGCAAAAGTCCAGCAAAATTGTACATCATTAAGTTTTACAAATTGATTGATCCTCTTGTCTAAATTGCCTTAAATGTCCCCAACAGAACTCAGTTCCTGTCCGCTGGACTGCCCCAGAGAGTCTACAGAGTAATGTGTACAACACCAAGACAGACACCTGGTCTTACGGCATTGTGGCCTGGGAGATTTTACACTTTGGTCAGTCGACTGCCAAAGGCTCTTGTTTAGATATCTGTTAAGTTTTTCAAATTACTTAAATCAGTTGTGTTTGACAGCTGTCTGGATGCAGTTAAAATGTTATTGTTTGACCTTTGGAGGGCAATGTTAATGAGAACAGACTATTTAGCTATTAAAGAATTAACATAAGTTTTAAACAGTGTGTGCAGGCCCAAAATGAATGGGAGCAGTTAAGAGTCTGCAAGAATCACCTGGAGTGAAATTGGAGAAAGAAATATAATTGGAAAAAGAAATATAATTGGGAAATTAAATATAATTGGAATAAAATAAAAATTCAAGCACTGTCATTATAAATTGTAATGCCATCTTTTGAACAGTTTGGGGTTTTGAAAAAAAAAATGATATGTTTGTTTTTTGTTATTGCAGGGAGCACCCCGTATCCTACCATGGGACCACACGAGGTCATCGAGAGTGTACAGAATGGCTTCAGGATGCCCAAACCACAGCACTGCAGTTCTGAATTGTAAGTTGCAGTGTCTGGATTTCTTTTTGGTGGGATGCAGTTAATGAAAATAAATTTGAGTCAAGTTAATTTATCTTGTCACATTGCATAATAGAAACATTTCTAAGATGAGTACGTGACCAATGCATTCTGCTCCCTTCTAGATATGAACTGTTGCTTCGATGCTGGCACACCATCCCCGAGGAGCGGCCATCCTATCAGGAAATTCTGGAGGTGCTGTCCCACCTTGTGGTCAATGCAGATGTCCACATTGACTTCTCCAGCCTGCCTGACCACCTCCTGTCTCTGGACACAGCCGACAGCTCTGCGTTTTGAAAGTGCTGCCCCAGAGATGTCATGCTGATGTCAGCAGTGACCAGCATGAGAACGATTGCTGGACTGTTGATAGTTGACATCTGAAGCAAGTCTAGGGAAAAGTTTGTTATTCAACACTTCATCAAGGTTTGTGAGGAACTAACTGAAGCTAACCATGTTTTTCTAAACTCAAGTTTTGTAACTAACTTTGAACAGATGTCCCAAAGTCTGGGCAGACATCATTTTAACTAATTTGTTCACTACTTCTGTGTCTTAATCTCTCTTTCAACACCATCCTGCCCCCTCCCACCCATAACACCCCACCCCATGGCAACAACCATTCTCTTTCCCAACTGTTAGCTCCTATAACAAATGTTATAAAAATGTTTTCCTTATAAAAAAAATGTATTGTAAAATATTCTCAATGGGATCACATAGGCAGAAACGTTATGGCAAGGGGAGGCAAAGCATGGATCACATAGGCAGAAACGTTATGGCAAGGGGAGGCAAAGCATGGATCACATAGGCAGAAACGTTATGGCAAGGGGAGGCAAAGCATGGGTGAGAGTTTTGAGTGTAACCATGGCTAGGGGGAGATAAACAGAAGTTCCAGACAAATGGGTGTGCAATGTCAGCAATCTTTTAGCGTGCAAGTCCAGTCCTTGGTTATTACATCAAAACAAATTCTAGTTTTTGACAGGATTCTATACCAAGGGTTTGACAAGTAGCATCTTACATGAGTTTTGAGAGTATTTACTTTTATCCCTAAATCAGCGGAGGTCAAAAAGGAATATTTTGTGAGACGGTAGGATAAGTAGCTTTGAGTGAATGAGATTTACCACCATGGTAAATTTAGTGAGACTTACTGCCATAGTAAATGTAGTGAGACTTGCCGCCATGGTAAATATAGTGAGACTTGCTGCCATGGTAAATGTAGTGAGACTTACTGCCATGGTAAATATAGTGAGACGTACTGCCATAATTTTCTTGACCACTGGGACGTGAATACGGTATATTATGTTTAATCCACTGGCAAGTTGTAGACACACCACAGATTCTAAGTTACACTGACGATGAGATAAGTCTCTATAATGGAGGTGCAATCAAGATTTATGATGTTCATTCATTATGATAAAATCTTTGACTGAACTGATACGATAGGGCTACTTACTGATTTTGATGAGAGCATTACAATTATTCTGTTTATGATGGGGGGGGGGGGGGTAATACTAAAACTATTTATTGAAAGAAGATTTCATTCTAAGACAAAAAAGAATAAAAATAAAATCTTTGACTGAACTGATACGATAGGGCTACTTACTGATTTTGATTAGAGCAATACAATTATTCTGTTTATGATGGGGGGGGGGGGGTGTAATACTAAAACTATTGATTGAAAGAAGATTTCATTCTAAGACAAACAAGAATAAAATATTTCTAATAAGAAAACACTTGTAATATTAAGTTGCTGAAGATGTTAATAAATTTCATTATTACACCTTACAACCATATATTTTGTCATGATCAGTTGAGAAGAGTTGATGGACCAACTACTTGAAATCAAGCTACTGAACATTTCATTGAGATAATTGTCTTAGGGGTGTTACTTGTTTTATATAAAAACATATCCAGCTTTGAAGAAATCAGATATTTTTTATCTAACATGGTAGACTGACTCATATAAGAAAAAAGTCTGCTGTATTGAGTAAAAGCCATCCTTGCCGCTGTACGCTGCACCAACAGTCAGTTGATGATCACAACTTAAACTCACTCATTTCTTCATCATGTTTTCAAATAATGAATTAATATGTCATAAAGATTTTGATCACAGTATTTCAAGGATTCGTTGACATATATTGTGGCTTTTGTAATAACAGAATTCCTGTGCCATTTAAATCACGTCTCTCACTCCAAGCTTGAGATACACTGTAGATTTCTCAAAGCAAGTCCCAAAGTATCTAATAATGAAGTCATTTTTACAGTGTTTAAATTAAAGCATTTTTTTATAAAACACTTGAAATAAAATGTTTGTTTAGTGAATGGTTGGGGGGGGGGGGGGAAGGGGCGGCCCTTCTCAATTGTGTTTCTTTATGTCCCTCCTGTTTGAGAAATTCTGGGAAAGGGCAAGGGATTTTAAAAAAAAAGTATTTTTATCAATATCTTTAAAGGTGGTATTATGTCAGAATCAGCTTGTGGGAAGGTGATATTATGTCAGAATCAGCTTGTGGGAAGGTGGTATTATGTCAGAATCAGCTTGTGGGAAGGTGGTATTATGTCAGAATCAGCTTGTGGGAAGGTGGTATTATGTCAGAATCAGCTTGTGGGTAAATATCTATAGTACAAATGTAAATGTAAAATGTCAGTTTCATCATAATTCATTTCAAGTAGAATATTATGTTTTGTTTAGTGTATGTCATTATGTTATCTATTGGAATGATATGATTTTTTTTATCTATTGGAATGAAAACTATTGCACATAAATTTAACTTAAATTCATATGACATGCTTTGATTGTGTTAAATTTGTAATGCTACATGTACCATCAAATGACTATGAACAATTTTTAAGGGGCGACTTTTTTCTTGTTCATTTAAATATACTTACATGACACCACACATCTGGTGTATTTTGTAACACTACTGGATGACCCAGAGTTACTGATGAACTGATTGACAGTCTCTTTAAAAATATTAGATGACCACAATGTCAGCATTTTGGTCACCATCCCTGTCAGTTGTCACATACTAGACCTCCTCTCATCTTTCTACCTGTTGTCTCATCTTTCTACCTGTCCTCTCATCTTTCTACCTGTTGTCTCATCTTTCTACCTGTCCTCTCATCTTTCTACCTGTCATCTTTCTACTTGTCATCTTTCTACTTGTCATCTTATTTTTCTACCTGTGCTAGCTGTCCTCTCATCTTTCTACCTGTTGTCTCATCTTTCTACCTGTCCTCTCATCTTTCTATCTGTCCTCTCATCTTTCTACCTGTCCTCTCATCTTTCTACCTTTCCTCTCATCTTTCTACTGGTCATCTTATCTTTCTACCTATCCTCTCATCTTTCTACCTGTCCTCTCATCTTTCTACCTGTCCTCTCTCCTCACCTTCAACATATGGAACAGCTCTGTACAACATTTTGTGTGACAGTTAATTCCCTTTCTCACTTCTGTGTACATAACTAATGTGCAATATTCACAAAGGGAGGTAATTGGGGGGAAAATTATATTTTTTGTTGAATCATGCCTTTTGTTTTATTTGCAATTTTACAATTTTTCTGTTGAACGTACAAGTTGCACAAGTGTATGTGGGTTGAAATGGACCTGTTTCCTTGTATGTCAAATGCTTATGCATGCAAGGAACAGTACTGATTGACATTGCTTTTCATTCCTTGAGAGAAATGTAACTTTTTCTGATAATTTTTCCCCCAACATGTTATCTATTAATAAATTGAGATTTTAAAGGTTAGTTTAAAGTGATGATTGAAAATTTAAAAAAAACAACAACAACTTCTGATTAAAGCTTATTAACAACTTTTTTGGGGGGGAAATTTCAACAAAATTTTAAGTTGCTTTATTTCAAGTTTCCCCTGTGTTTACTTTGGGTGGTGGATTGGGAAAGAAATGTTGCTTGCTAAATTTTAAACCAAATTAAAGTTGTGCTACGTATTCCAATGAAAGTGCAGCATGATAAAATGAAATTGTTTATGTGTTAATATATGGGCAAGTTATTAACATAAACTGATGCAAGGAGTTGTTGGTTGTATTCTGAATGAGGACATGGATACTAAATCCAAAAAAAGAACTTTTGGCTACATGTAGCTCATTTTGTATTTTATTTGTTTGGTATCTGATATGGCAGCCATGTTTTGGGTCAAAGTTTGAGGATCACACATTTTTAGAATCACAAATTTTTATTTTGTTATTACTAAGTTAACCACAATTGTTAGGGTTACCTTGAAGAAGTTAACCACAATTGTTAGGGTTACCATGAAGAAGTTAACCACAATTGTTAGGGTCACCATGAAGAAGTTAACCACAATTGCTGGGGTTACCATGAAGAAGTTAACCACAATAGTTAGGGTTACCCTGAAGAAGTTAACCACAATTGTTAGGGTCATCATGAAAAAGTTAACCACAATTGTTAGGGTTACCCTGAAGAAGTTAACCACAATTGTTAGGGTTACCATGAAGAAGTTAACCACAATTGTTAGGGTTACTATGAATGAATTAACCACAATTGTTAGGGTTACCCTGAAGAAGTTAACCACAATTGATATGGTTATCCTGAAGAAGTTAACCACAATTGATATGGTTATCCTGAAGAAGTTAACCACAATTGATATGGTTGCCATGAAGAAGTTAACCACAATTGTTAGGGTTACCATGAACCCGTTGGTTTTCTTTAGTTTGCTATATTTTTATACTTATTTATCTCTTATTGTCGTTTTTCAAAATGTTTATTCATGGCGCTGCTTGCTTTGCTTTCTTTTATTTAACCTAAAAGCTCTGAAGGATTTGGTTTCCTTATAAACATTACCTATAAACAAATCCTATCTTATCAGTGTTACAACTTTGTGTACGTGCAATAAACAAAATATATTTGTGGAGTTCTTTCCTGCCAACACAGGCATCACATTTGTCTCTTTTTTGTTTTACTTGGTAAAAAAAAAAAAATTTTTTTTTTTAAAAATAAAGTTTCTTACTAATTTTCATTCCCCCCCCCCCCCCTTCCCTCCCCCCTTTTCATTGTTTCAAATTGACTCTTGGCCAGCATTCTATGAAACTGTCACACTGGAATCAGATAGATTATTATAAAGGGAAATGGTCTAGAAATTGATAAATATTAACATCCCGCAGGTAAGAGATAATAGTTGTACGTTGTCCAACATAAATTCTATTTTATAATAAAAAATTTGGACCTATTATTGCTTGAAAAAAAACTTTCTTTATGTCTTTTTTAATGTAATCGTTCCTAAATTAAATCTCCAAAGTTGGTAGTTCAATAAAAATTCAAGCCAACTTACAGATCATTTTCTTGAAAGTAGGCCATTCTATTGGAACTCAGTTTCTATGATCTACTAAGGAACGTTAATGTTTATAAAAATATTACTGGGTGTGTGGGTGTAAAACTATCGTATGAGAGTCTCTGCGCAATGGTTTGAGAGTCTCTGCACAATGGTATGAGAGTCTCTGCACAAAGTTTGTAATGTATGTAGCTTATTTTACTCTCCACTTTGTAATGTATGTAGCTTATTTTACTCTCCACGGCATGATAATTTCATGAGAACAGGGGAAGTAATACTGGCTGCTTATACAAGTGTTTGGTTTTGAGAGTTAATAATCTCCAACCTGGGCTGAGCTAAAACTGTGGGAAATGTCAGATTCTGGAAATGTCCCTTTGTGTTCCTATTGATTCTTAGCAAGGTCAAAAGCTCATTACAAACACCAAAAGAATATTTGTTATTTCCGGTTGACCGGCTCCTAATGCCTGGTTAGCACAGAATTCTTGTTATTTCCGGTTGAATGGCTTCTAACCTTCAGTTAGCACAGCCTCATATTCTTCTTTTTTTCTTCCTTCTCAAAGTTAGCAAAATAATTCTTGAAACATTCCAAGCTGAGGTTTGTGTGACCTTCAAACAACAGAGATCAGATCCGATGTTTTTTAAGACCAGATACAGACCAGGTGATTCTCCGACCTTGACACCCATAGAGATTAACTGAATTTAAGATTTTTTTTACCCCTGGTAGTGTTTTCACTGTCTTTATTAGTAATAAAGTTACTTTTGAATTTTTTTTTTTAAAAAGGGGTTTGTCATTTTATCCTGAAACAGGTGGCAACTGGAATGGAAGTGAAGGATATGGTTAACTTATATTACCCAAGATTCACACAAGCTGTCTCAAATTATTGCCAGAATTTGAGACACCTTTGTACCAACCACCTGCAATTAACCTTTGGCTTTGACTATAGAGATATTTCCATGTTTCGCTAATTAGAAAATTAAAAAAATTCCAAAAATTCAATTCAAAATAGACTGATAGCAAAGCAGAGAGCCAGGTTGGACAATCTTTTATTGGAATCCATTAAGAAAATAAAATATTTTCAATTTTACGTTGTTAAACTTGCTTCAGCAGTGGCCAACCTGCCAACCAGAGTACAGCTGGGTGTTAGGGGAGCCCACTCTAAATC